CTGCCTCAAGTTTGTAACGTCTACATGTGCGGAAGAAGGTAGGGTGGGCCTCACCGCAATTGAGGCAGAGGGCCTGGGCAGAAGTGCACTCCAACTTAGAGTGACCCTCGCCCCCACACATGGGACAGAGAGAGACAGGACTAGAGCATTTGAGGGAACCATGCCCAAACCTCCAGCACTTACTGCAGTGCCGAGGAGATGGAATATACTCCTGAACGGAGCATCTGGCAACAGCAAGAATGACAGAGGGCAGAAGGGTCCTACCATCAAAGGTAAACTTCACAACCTGAAGGGGCAGACGGCGACGACCACGAGGGGGACGAGTAAACATATCCACCTGAAGGACAGAATGACCTTGGGCCTCGAGGATATGCTTAATATCCTCGTAGCAGTCTTAGATTTCTAACACCGGTTGCAACATGGTGCGGGAGGAGAAGTGCCAACACTGGCATTTAACCGAGCATTCTTAGAGACCTGAACAGGGGTCTTGCCAATGCAGGATAAGGCAGCCAAGCGGGAGGCTGCATCCTGAGGAGCAGCCGCTACGACACTGGTACCAAGACGGGTGGGGGTTGAAAGTAACAGAAGCATCCACTGAATCAACAAGATGCCTATGAAGGGACAATTGGTACAAGCGTTTTGGTACCAATTCTACGGTCTTGAACTGTTATGTACTTTGTATACTCTTAATTACTATTGTGTTCTTTATATAAATTACAAGTCATTACTAGTCTTGTCAAATAACTTTATTTATGTCTACTTGTATCTGAATTGTAAGTCTGCACATTACTTAGTCTATTAAATTTACAACTGTCACTTAGTCTAGCAAATTACATTTTTGTATTTAACTTTATATTAAATTTTTTTTTTTTTACAAGTTCCCATGCATTGCACGTTTCCTTTAAACCAGAAAAAAAATTCCACAGCCCCATTTAGATTATGCATGTCTCCCCGAGCTATTCTATCTTCTAGCGACGTGATGTGCATTTCACGCAGCCTTTCCTCATAACTCATGCCTCTTAGTTCTAGGATTAACCTAGTGACATACCTCTGAACTTTTTACAGTTTCGTCTTGTGCTTGACAAGGTATGGGCTCCATGCTGGTGACGCATACACCAGTATTTGTCCTACATACGTGGTATGCAAGGTTCTGAAATATTTTTTACACAGGTTTCTGAAGGCAGTTCTGATTTTAGTCAGCCTCGCATACGCCGCTGATGTTATTCTTTTGATATGGGCTTCAGGAGACAGGTTTGGCGTGATAACTTCTAAATCATTTTCTGTCTGTTTCATGAACTTCATCTCCAATTCGGTATCCCGTGTCTGGCCTATTTCCTCCACCTAGTTTCATTACCTTACATTTACTTGGGTTGAATATTAGTAGCCATTTGTTGGACCATTCCTTCAGCTTGTCTAGGTCATCTTGTAGCCTCATACTGTCTTGTCTTAATCATCCTCAATTTTCGCATCAGCCAACAATGAGAGGAACGAGTCTATTCCCTCTGTGAAGGGGAATTATCAGGGGAAAGCGCCAAGCCATTAAGATTACATAGCACTGGGAAAGGGTTAGGATAAGGATTTGGGACAGGATGAGGGATGGAATAGTGCCCATCCACAACACCACTTGGGTGGTCGGGAACAGTATAGGTCTAAGGACTGATCCTGGTGAGACTCCACTGGTGATGCCTCACCACTCCGAGACCTACCCCCCCCCCCCAGTGACTACTTTGGATAAGGGAATAACTAAGCAACAGGAGTACCTTCCCTTTCACTCCTGCCAGCATCTCCAGCTGTCGCACTGTTCTCTGGTGTGGTACTGTGTCAAAGGCCTTCTGGCACTCCAAAAATATGAAGTCTGCCCATTCTTTTTTCTTGTCTGATTATTGTTGCCTGGTCATAGAATTCAATTAATCTGTGTAACAAAATTCTTTCGTTCTAGATGTTCCACTAACTTCTTCGCACATTCTCTATCTTGCATGGTATATAAGTTAGGTATACTGGCCTATAGTTCAGTGCCTCCTGTGTCACCATTTGTGAATATTGAGACTTCAATAGCTGTCTTCCAACTTTTTGGCATTTCACCTGTTGGCAGTGATTTGTTGTACAAGTGGATGAATGGACATAATAAAGGAGATATTAATAGGGTAATAAAAGTATCAACAACACGAGTGCAGACTAGTGTTCATAATAACGTGGCTGAAATGTTGACCAAACCACACTAGAAAGTGAAGGGACGATAACGTTTCGGTCCGTCCTGGACCATTCTCAGGTCAATTGAGAATCGACCTGAGAATGGTCCAGGACGGACCGAAACGTTGTCATCCCTTCACTTTCTAGTGTGTGGTTTGGTCAACACAGAACACGAAACAATGGGTATAAATTGGATACGTTTAGACCTGGGTAAATACTGGTTCTGTAACGGTGTTTGATTTATGGAACCAATTACCAAGTAACATAATAGAAGAAGGATCCCTTGACCGATTCAAACGTAGATTATACATATACATGAATGAGACTGGGTGGTTATAAATAAGAGCTGCCTCGCATGGGAGAGAAGGCCTTCTGCAGTTACTTTCATTCGTATGTTCTTATGATAGGGAATCTTTTCCCATGTTTATTTCCCTCCCAATTTTCGCATCATCGGCAAATTTGCAAATATTTTTGTTCAAACCTGAATCTAAATTATATATATATATATATATATATATATATATATATATATATATATATATATATATATATATATATATATATATATTATATATATATATATATATATATATATATATATATATATATATATATATATATATATTATATATATATATAATATATATATATATATATATATATATATATATATATATATATATATATATATATATATATATATATATATATATATATATATATATATATATGCAAACAAGCCTGAATGGTCCCCAGGACTATATACAACTGAAAACTCACACCCCAGAAGTGACTCGAACCCATACTCCCACAACTGGTATGTACAGGGACGCCTTAATCCGCTTGACCATCACGACCGGACATAAGGAAGTGATAGCCGAGGCTATATGAACCACTTCCCCGCCGGCACTCGGATGGTAATCTTGGGCATAGCATTTTATCAAATCACCTCATTCTTTGGGGCACACGTGAGGAACACAAATGCAAACAAGCCTGAATGGTCCCCAGGACTATATACAACTGAAAACTCACACCCCAGAAGTGACTCGAACCCATACTCCCACAACTGGTATGTACAGGGACGCCTTAATCCGCTTGACCATCACGACCGGACATAAGGAAGTGATAGCCGAGGCTATATGAACCACTTCCCCGCCGGCACTCGGATGGTAATCTTGGGCATAGCATTTTATCAAATCACCTCATTCTTTGGGGCACACGTGAGGAACACAAATGCAAACAAGCCTGAATGGTCCCCAGGACTATATACAACTGAAAACTCACACCCCAGAAGTGACTCGAACCCATACTCCCACAACTGTACATACCAGTTGTGGGAGTATGGGTTCGAGTCACTTCTGGGGTGTGAGTTTTCAGTTGTATATAGTCCTGGGGACCATTCAGGCTTGTTTGCATTTGTGTTCCTCACGTGTGCCCCAAGAATGAGGTGATTTGATAAAATGCTATGCCCAAGATTACCATCCGAGTGCCGGCGGGGAAGTGGTTCATATAGCCTCGGCTATCACTTCCTTATGTCCGGTCGTGATGGTCAAGCGGATTAAGGCGTCCCTGTACATACCAGTTGTGGGAGTATGGGTTCGAGTCACTTCTGGGGTGTGAGTTTTCAGTTGTATATAGTCCTGGGGACCATTCAGGCTTGTTTGCATTTGTGTTCCTCACGTGTGCCCCAAAGAATGAGGTGATTTGATAAAATGCTATGCCCAAGATTACCATCCGAGTGCCGGCGGGGAAGTGGTTCATATAGCCTCGGCTATCACTTCCTTATGTCCGGTCGTGATGGTCAAGCGGATTAAGGCGTCCCTGTACATACCAGTTGTGGGAGTATGGGTTCGAGTCACTTCTGGGGTGTGAGTTTTCAGTTATATTTATATTTATATATATATATATATATATATATATATATATATATATATATATATATATATATATATATATATATATATATATATATATATATATATATATATATATGTCGTACCTAGTAGCCAGAACGCACTTCTGAGCCTACTATGCAAGGCCCGATTTGCCTAATAAGCCAAGTTTTTATGAATTAATGTTTTTTCGTTTACCTAACCTAACCTAACCTAGCTTTTTCGGCTACCTAACCGAACCTAACCTATAAAGATAGGTTAGGTTAGGTTAGGTAGGGATGGTTAGGTTTAGTCATATATCTACGTTAATTTTAACTCCAATAAAAAAAATTGACCCCATACATAATGAAATCGGTAGCTTTATCATTTCATACGAAAAAAATTAGAGAAAATTTATTAATTCAAGAAAACTTGGCTTATTAGGCAAATCGGGCCTTGCATAGTAGGCTGACAAGTGCGTTCTGGCTATTAGGTACGACATATATATATATATATATATATATATATATATATATATATATATATATATATATATATATATATATATATATATATATATATATATATATATATATATAAATATAAATATAATCATGAATAACAGAGGTCCCAGGACAAAGTCCTGAGGCACTCCACTTACAACATTTTCCCACTTACTTAATCTCATTTATACTAACACTGCTTCCTTCGGTATAGCCATGCCCTAATCCAACTTACTATAGTACCCCCAATTCCTTGAGCCTCTATCAATCTCACATTCTTATGCCTTAAACAATAAGGACAATCTTATGTTCTTGTATATCTATTCAGTTCCTGAACCCATCACATGCCTGTAATCTTGACCACTGCCACCGACAGGATGACTATGGCATGCATATACAACAGTGACTTGCCATGCAAGAGCGAAGTAGGACTCACCGTCTGGACTGTGGCGAAGCGGACTCTCCCACCCTCGTCCTCCTCCTCCCAGATCTCTCGCACCACCTTCGCTCCACGCTCCTTGGCCCGCTGGAAGCGTCAAGTTAGCACAATAGAGCAAGGGACATTAAATATATAATGCATATGAACAGAACAATCAGGAGATAATGTGAGCTACAGCGAGGGAGGACAGAATGAGGGGCAGCAAAGAGGGGGGGAGAGCACACAACACACACACACACACACACACACACACACACAGTGCGCTGGCTCACCTTCACTATAGCATCGAGGTCCTCAACGTTGAAAGCAATGTCTTTGGCGCCGTCTCCGTGAGTGACCAGGTGGCGACCCATCACCTCGTTGTTGGGGTTGAGCGCCGAGGCGAACACGAACATGATCTGCTCACACCACCATAGTTAATAACAGTATAAACCCAGACGCATTACAACAAAACACTAACCAAGATCCCCATACATATTAACCACTAATTATTCTCAATAAAATCATTATAGCCATACTAACTAGCAAATAAAATATTGAGTTACTGTCTAAGTATGTAAACACTGACCAGTGCATACTTGCCTACCTTGTTCTGCTTGACGACATGGTAGCACACTTCACGGGAGCCAGTCTCCAGACCTTTGTAGGCGTACGGTTCGAACCCCAGTCTGGTAGAGTAGTAACTGGCCGCCTTGTGAGAAGGGAGAGATTAGCGTCTGCTGCCCACACTCGCCAAACACCTGCACACACCTGTACTGATCTTGTACATTGCAACATTACAAAATCCTTCTACACATGTCCAAATAAAATAGTACTGATATTTACTTTCTAATTGTCTCCAACGTCAATGTAGGATGGTAGTCATAGTTACTGAAGGTACTGCCTATACAGGGAGGGAGGGTCGGGGAACAACTAGACAAACGTCGACTCAAGGTCTAACCAATGCCCTAGATATTGTACCCACCGACTCCCCGCCCACCCCATTATCCCCCACAACTGGTTGATACCTGGTTGATACCTGGTTGATGGGGTTCTGGGAGTTCGTCTACTCCCCAAGCCCGGCCCGAGGCCAGGCTCGACTTGTGAGAGTTTGGTCCACCAGGCTGTTGCTTGGAGCGGCCCGCAGGCCCACATACCCACCACAGCCCGGTTGGTCCGGCACTCCTTGGAGGAATAAAATCTAGTTTCCTCTTGAAAATGTCCACGGTTGTTCCGGCAATATTTCTTATGCTTGCTGGGAGGACGTTGAACAACCGCGGACCTCTGATGAACTCCCTGGCTTATAGCAAATTGTTACACATTACGCAAGATATTGTAATTTAGATAATTAAAACATACTGAAGGTTGCATTGACCAGAGCAGCCATTTGCCACCCCATCCACCATTCAGGGGAGATGGAATTACTTCTACATGAAGCTGGTTGACCAATCACACATCACAAGAACAGTATTACATTATCCTGAAAAGAACATGGGTGATAAACTTTCCTTGCTGGGCACTCATTAACATACGTCACAGTATGGTACGTTTAGAGTGAACGCGTTGTGTTCACTGCTATCATATACCCCCCCCCCCCCCCCCCGCACGCCGGTGACCCAACACATCTTCTCCATGCCGGTTGTTACGACCCTGGATTAATTGGCTCTGCCAGGAAAGCCAGGGGTCAAATTGAATTCTTTTATACTCATACAGCAACCCGTTCTCGCAAATTTAATAAGTCAATATTGACTTATTAGTTGCGTGCATAGGTGACATACTAAACATAATAGTTTCCCTTGAAAAGCTTCATAGAAAACAACCGACCTTACCTAACCTACTTAGTATGTTAAAATAAGCATCTTATAGCTTCGTAATTACAATTGTTACTTAACCTATTATAGGTATAGGTTAGGTAATTGTAATTACGGAGCAATAAGATGCTTATCTTAACATACTAAGTAGGGATCAGTCAAGTATTTTAAGAGCCCTGACTGAGGAATTTTGTGTGGGCTCTTAAATAAATATTAGAACATTAATAGATAGAATTGGATTATGCAAGATTGATATTTAATTAATAATAATACTTAACCTCATTGTTTCTTATATCCTTGATGTGTTTGTTTCCATCTTCCCTGCCAGACGTAGAAATAATCTTGTTGCTCACAAGGCGGGCAGACTGTGTTAATTGAATATTAATATAAAGCTAGAGGCTAGCTATTCTTAGAATTGTTGGAGTAACAAGAAAATGAATGTCTGGGAAAACTTATAATGATTGTTACTGTACGACCAGTTGAGTATCGTCCAGGCAGCAACCATGAGTGTTCCCAAGACTTTCTCCCTCTTCCCTGGTGGTCTCGAGGCTGACAAGACACTCGCTCTGAGGGCTTATTTCCTTACCTCTTCTCATCCTCCTCTCTTCTCTCCTTATTCTGTGTATCAAGCTAAGTATGTGTTCTGTGTGTTATTGTGCCACCGTGTTCTAGGAATTTTAGGTGTCTTCTTAAGCCATTGTTTGAGCCAAACATTAACTGGGGTGGCTTAACCCTTTAACTGCACAGCCTGTACATATGACACCCCCAGTGCACAAGAAATAAATTCTCGGGATAAAATTTTTTGTTCTGGGAGTGTCAGAAAACCCTCCCAGTATATGGGTATAGCAACGGAATATCGAAATTGTACTTACTTTGGCAGCTATGAGGTCCGAAAGGTGGGGCGACATCATTCCCCGTGCGCCCGTGCCATAAGCTCCTGGGGCCGGTGGGGCGACATGGCGCAGATATATGTATATGTACATTATCGGTACTCCGCGAGTGTGTGATATGCTGCGAAACAGCCAACGGGGCAGAGTAGCATTTTGCACTCCACACACCAGGTGCTGATGCATCTACACTTTTGTAGTCTGCGTGTGGTGTTCCTGCCGACTAAGCATGCACGTTTACCCTTCTCCCGTGATGCTGTGCCTGGCATATACTCCAGCATGTGTACCCCAAAGTTCTCATTACCCCGCAGTCTGTCTGGAGCTGCATGTGCCATTGTTGCTTGCACCCCGTGGGGTACTACGGAGCCCTCCTTGCCATACTTTATCAGCAGCTGTGACAACGCTGGCAGTGAAGGTACGTATAGAAGGTTTCCTGCCGGACTTCACCAAGTACGTATTGCAGCAGTGTTGGGGTGTGTTTGCAAGCCTAACTTGCCAGAATTTTCGGAGTTGACCCTGAAAGATTTTTCTGCCATTTTCAGAGGCTGGCCAGGTCCATGAATTGGCCAGAGGAAAAGTGGGCGAGCATCTTGCAGAGGCAGCTAAAAGGCAAAGCCCAAGATACTTTTATAAACGTGCCTGATGAGGATTGTTTTAATTATAGTAAAGTTAAAGAACAGATTTTGAAGGCATATAAGTATATGTAGAAGTAGCATATAAGTAGAAGGCATAATGCCTGAAGCTCACCACCAAGCCTATTGCAACCTTAAGCCTACACACAACCAACCTCTTACAGAATTTGCAAATAACCAAATAAGATTGTTTGAAAAATGGGCTCACTGAGCTAAAGCCGAGACAAACGAGCACTCAAAAATTTATTTTTAATTGAAGGACATCTGTAACATGTCAGAACCGGTGGCACGATACCTCACAGAGGAAGGAGACACACATATTATGGATTTGGCCAAGATGGCAGAAAACTACTAGTTGGCAGGCAAAATGTCCAGTAAAAATAATTATATCCCACGTGGTAACAAACCTTGTACCCACAGCCAATCCAGACCAGCCCATTCTAACCCTGTAAATATTGCACCTTCTCTTTCGGACAAAACTAACCAGCTTAAATTGTCTAAACCCAAGGGGAACTCTGATAGTAATGTCCCTTCTCCCCAAAGATACTGTGGTCATTGTAAACTTTCAAACCACACTACTAGCCTTTTTTTTTTTATTTCATACACACACACACACACACACACATTCTTGTACAGCCACTAGTATGCGTAATGTTTCAGGCAAGTCCTTAATCCTGTTCCCAGGAATGACTCCCGCGAAGAATCGTTGTTGCAACCAAGTACCCATTTTACTGTTGAGTTAAACAGAGGCTACAGTTAAGGATTTGCACCCAGTAAATCCTCCCCAGCCAGGATACGAACCCAGGACAAAGCGCTGGCGGAACGCCAGGCGAATGACTTGTCACTACGCCACGAAGACTGCTAACCTTATACCCAACTGTTGGGTAGTTGTATATGTTGGCAACTGTACCCAGAAAAAAGGCCCAATGCTCTTGTTGTGACGAGGCTTGAGGACTTCTGACGGGTTAGAGTACAAGACCCCCAACCCAAAGTGGTTGGGCCTGCTTACTCCATTCCTGTCCAAGGGGAAGCTTTTAACTTTTGAGGGTTCTTCCTGGAAGGATGTGGTAATCTTCTGCAACCCGTTCTCGCAAATTCGTGTAAAGTCAATATTGACTTATTAACTACGTGCATAGGTGATACTAAACATAATAGATACCCCTAAAAAAATTCATAGAAAACACGACCTTACCTAACCTTGTTAGTATCTTAAGATAAGCATCTTATTGCTTCGTAATTACAATTATTACTTAACCTATACCTATTATAGGTTAGATAATTGTTATTACGAAGCAATAAGATGCTTATCTTAAGATACTAACAAGGTTAGGTAAGGTCGGTGTTTTCTATGATCTCTTTTAAGGGTATCTATTATGTTAAGTATGTCACCTATGCACATATTTAATAAGTCAATATTGACTTATTAAATTTGCGAGAACGGGTTGTCTTCTGAGACACCGGTGCCATCCAGACTTTAATTTTAGAGTGTGTTGCAAGGTGCCAACACACTCGACACTGGAGAGGTAGTACTAGTCGAAGGCATCAAGTGATATTCTACCAGTACCCCTCCGTAAGGTAACCTGGAATCTGATTTCCACAAGGGTATTGGTACAGTCGGAGTCACTCCTTACCTACCTTTCCCTAATGTTGATATAATAGTAATGATTTATTAGGAGATAAGGTAGGGGACTCCAGACTGCCTATTATGTTGCCTACCCCTAAGGTTTCCCCTGAAACTACCCGTCGCAGAGAATAATGTTGTGTACCCTGCGTGTGCAGTGACCAGGTCTATGGGTCTTAAATGTAAGGTAAACCCTGTGGTTGCCAAGGTAGTAAATCCCGAGGCCACGAGTAACTTTCAGAGTGGTGAAAGCCAAGTGGACCTTGCTGATACTTTCATGGCCAGAATTGATGACGAGGACACTGGAGAGCCTACCATCACCTCCTAACAAGAGTATTGAGGATGAGGAGGAGAATACTGTTGGGACTCTGCCAATAGCATCTGACCCAGGCATGGGAGCCACCTTGAGCGAATTGCAGAAGGCTGACCCCAGTCTTGCAGAATATCATGCAGCTCTCTAAGGAGGAAATAGTAGATGCAGCAACTGGTTACTATTACAAGGATCAGATTTTGACGAGAAAATGGAGACCACAGAGTTCAACCTTGTGAAATGAGTGGGAGATAGTACACAAGGTTATGCTGCCTACCTGCTATAGAGAAGGTTTTGGCAGCGGCTCATGATGATCCTATTGGGGGGGGGGGGACATCACGGTATTAACATTAAATATCATAAGACCTTTAAACATTTCTACTGGCCCAAGCTGAAAAGCGATGTGGCAAAATATTGTAATTCTTGTGTCCCATGTCAGCTTATTGGGAAACCTAATCAGACACCACCTAAAGCTCCTCTTAGGCCTATTGTAGTGTCGGAGGAACCATTTTCTCACGTGGTAATGGATTGTGTTGGTTCATTACCTAGAACTAAGGTTGGTAACATTTACTTGATAACCATGATCACGACCCGTTACCCTGAGGATTTTGCTGTAAGGCACATCTGAGCAATGACTTATTGCTTGTATGTTGCAATTTTTTCCCCACTTATGGACTGCCTCGGATCGTTCAAACTGACAATGGTACTAAGTATGATACTTTTGAACAATTCTCTAAGGACAAAGGAATGACTTAAGGTTTCTAGCCCATATCATCCAGAGTCATGAGGGTAATTAAGCGGTTCCATCAAACTTTGAAACAGATGCCTAAGACATCATGTGAAAATTCTAACAGGGCTTGGGATGAGAACTTTCAGTATGTTTTGTTAGCTGCTCGAGAGGGGTTACAGAGTTCACTGGGTTGTTCACCTTTTGAGTTAGTCTTTGGCCATAAGGTCCGTGGACCCTTGCAAATGTTACACGAGAATCGGTTAGGTAACATAACATTGACCGAAGGTTCAGCTTGCTTTGCGCAACACCAGAGACAATGTAAGGCAGCAGCACTAAAATATCTTGGGAAGACCCAAGATAGCATGAAGGAACGACACAATGCTAAGGCTAAGTTGAGGGTATTTCAGCCTGGTAACCCTGTCCAGGTATTAAAGCCTCGATTGGGGAACATTGTCTCACAAGTATGAAGGCCCCTATATGGTGACAGAAAAGGTTGGGGACCTCACGTACAAAATGAGAATGATAAGCTTAGCCAGGTGATGCTTGTATACTTTAACCGTCTGAAGTTCCAGGGCCCCATGCCAATCGCTCTAATATTTCCTTTTCCAGTGAGGGAGGGGATAACTTTTCTGGGGACCCAACTAATCCCATTTTCAATCATTCTAGTTCTGTGAATGCTGTCGAGGAGAGGCTGTCCCATTTGCAGATGTTCCAGCGTGAAGAGGTGCAGTCGTTACTTGAGTTCTCCAGTCTGTTTAGGGAGGTCCCGGCACAGACTGATGCCATCCACCATGATGTCAAGTTGACAGACTACACCCCCCATTCGTCTTCAACCCTACCGGATGAGCCCGGAAAAGAAGGCTATCGTGGGGCAAGAAATCTACTTCCTACTCCAGCACGGCCTTAAGGCCGAGTCAGGGCTCTTTGAGCTAGCCCTGCCTTTTAGTTCCCAAACCAGATGGACCCCGACGCTTGTGTATCGACTACCGGCAGCTCAACAAGGTGACCATCGTGGATGCTTACCCGCTGCCCTTCGTAGAGGACTGTATCGATGAGATCGGTAATGCCACCGGTGTGTAAGTTCGATCTCTTCAGGGGGGTACTACCAAATCCCACTCACAGAACGTGTCAAACAACTAACCGCATTCGTAACACCTGATGGCATTTTCTAATACCAAGTGCTACCTTTCGGACAGCTGAATGCTCCCACAACGTTCCAGCAGTTAATGAACTCTGCTAGCAAATGTACCAAATTGTCGGCCATATTTAGATGACACTGCTATTTGATAGAAATTGGGCTGACATTTTCCTCCAAACAAAGGCCCAAAAGTGATTCCATGCACCCGTCAAACCCCGTTTATGAATGAAAAATGGTTTACACACGACAACTGATTTCGTTCGAACACTTCCGGAAGAAGTGCTTCACTGATGAATTTTGTTCAAACCACAACACTAAATGCTTCACCCACATATTACAAATACAAACAAACTCCCACCCCACGGCCCGACCCCGGGGCTCGTTCTTCCACCCCCACGGCCCCCCCTCCCTGCCGAGGCGCGTACCCCAACCCCCCCATGGCCCGTCCCTCTCCCGGCCAGGGCAAGTACTCCCACCCCCACGGCAGCAGGTAGCACTGTGGAGACATTTCCGACAGACCACTGGAACATTAACACAGTGCAGAGTTACAAACCCATTAAGATTTCAACTTAAATTCAGAGCAGAAGTTGTTAAACACGTGGGACAAAATCTTACTGAAGTGACCATACGAGTCAAATACTCATACTCTGCCCAAGTAAAACAAACAAACAAACACTTCGTGGGCCAGCCAGAGGCTTAGGACCCGTGCAGGAATATCCCTGGAAAAAAACAGCAGCAGGAACAGCAGGGGGGACGGGGGGGGGGGGGGGGGGGGAGACTTACTTGCTTAGCGTTGCCGACCCAGAAGGTGATGTGGTCGAAGTGGAGGAACTTGCCAGAGTCAGGCTGTGGGAGAAATCATCAACACGGACCATTACTTCGCTGCCAGAAATTACAACATTTTATAATTATTTACTTCTATAAAGAGGAAAGATTCAATTGTCAGCTAGGCCAGGATTCGTTGATCATTTTAACCATATGGAACCTGTATATCTTTGAACAACTATGGTGGCTTTGCTTACTTTTATTAAACATTGTACAGGCTCCGTAGTTTCAGAGCTCATGCCGTTTAATGAATTCAAACAAAGCTGACATTTGTTTAAAGATGTACACGTTTCGCAAGTGGTTGGCAAATGCTCTAACAACCCAGGTCCAGTTAGGTCAACCTGAAAACCATGGTCACAGCTTACCTTGGAGCCCTTGTCCGTGTATGAAGTCTGAAAAAAAAGAAATGAAAAAATTATTCACTGTAGATTATGGATGTCTGTATAATTATAGAAGTTTAATATCACCGACAAGTGCAGGCAACAATATGTGGCAACACCGCTCGGGATAAACTACTTCCCCTTCACCTATGCTTGCCCCCTTACCCCCCCCCCCTCCCTCTGATGCCCCATCACCGCAGCGGTGTGGTCAGCCCCGTCACCGCAGCGGTGTGGTCAGCCCCGTCACCGCAGCGGTGTGGTCAGCCCCGTCACCGCAGCGGTGTGGTCAGCCCCGTCACCGCAGCGGTGTGGTCAGCCCCGTCACCGCAGCGGTGTGGTCAGCCCCGTCACCGCAGCGGTGTGGTCAGCCCCGTCACCGCAGCGGTGTGGTCAGCCCCGTCACCGCAGCGGTGTGGTCAGCCCCGTCACCGCAGCGGTGTGGTCAGCCCCGTCACCGCAGCGGTGTGGTCAGCCCCGTCACCGCAGCGGTGTGGTCAGCCCCGTCACCGCAGCGGTGTGGTCAGCCCCGTCACCGCAGCGGTGTGGTCAGCCCCGTCACCGCAGCGGTGTGGTCAGCCCCGTCACCGCAGCGGTGTGGTCAGCCCCGTCACCGCAGCGGTGTGGTCAGCCCCGTCACCGCAGCGGTGTGGTCAGCCCCGTCACCGCAGCGGTGTGGTCAGCCCCGTCACCGCAGCGGTGTGGTCAGCCCCGTCACCGCAGCGGTGTGGTCAGCCCCGTCACCGCAGCGGTGTGGTCAGCCCCGTCACCGCAGCGGTGTGGTCAGCCCCGTCACCGCAGCGGTGTGGTCAGCCCCGTCACCGCAGCGGTGTGGTCAGCCCCGTCACCGCAGCGGTGTGGTCAGCCCCGTCACCGCAGCGGTGTGGTCAGCCCCGTCACCGCAGCGGTGTGGTCAGCCCCGTCACCGCAGCGGTGTGGTCAGCCCCGTCACCGCAGCGGTGTGGTCAGCCCCGTCATCCCCCGCAGCGGTGTGGTCAGCCCCGTCACCGCAGCGGTGTGGTCAGCCCCGTCACCGCAGCGGTGTGGTCAGCCCCGTCACCGCAGCGGTGTGGTCAGCCCCGTCACCGCAGCGGTGTGGTCAGCCCCGTCACCGCAGCGGTGTGGTCAGCCCCGTCACCGCAGCGGTGTGGTCAGCCCCGTCACCGCAGCGGTGTGGTCAGCCCCGTCACCGCAGCGGTGTGGTCAGCCCCGTCACCGCAGCGGTGTGGTCAGCCCCGTCACCGCAGCGGTGTGGTCAGCCCCGTCACCGCAGCGGTGTGGTCAGCCCCGTCACCGCAGCGGTGTGGTCAGCCCCGTCACCGCAGCGGTGTGGTCAGCCCCGTCACCGCAGCGGTGTGGTCAGCCCCGTCACCGCCGCCGCCGCAGCGGTTATCTTGAGATGATTTCGGGGCTTTTTTTTTTTCAGTGTCCCCGCGGCCCGGATTTCGACCAGGCCTCCACCCCAGGAAAACACCCAGGTACCTATTTTGCTGCTAGGTAACAGGGGCATAGGGTTTCTCGTCGGCGCCTGGGATCGAACCCAGGACCACAGGGTCACAAGTCCAGCGTGCTGTCCGCTCGGCCGACCGGCTCCCTCCTGCACAGAGTTACTGGGTCCCGAAGTGGAGAATTTCTAGTTTCTAGCAACCGAGGGGTCTCCTTCTCTCAAAGTTTGCGGTCCTCATTCTTTTTGGGAGGTTACCGTTTAGATACTTAGTAGTGGGATTCTTTGTCAGGACTGTAGGTGGGTACAGTACAACTCAACACTACCATTCCCCAGGATGCGACCCACAACAGTCGTCAACACCCAGGTACCTATTTAATGCTAGGTGAACATGGGCAATGGGTTTAAGGAGACCTGCCCGTTTGTCTCGCCCTGCCCGGGATTCGAACCCAGGACCTATCGGTTGTGAGCCGAGCGCGCTGACCACTGCGCCACAGGTTACCCCGGTGTGGCGCCGGTGTGGTCTGCCTCCACCACCACTGCCGCAGTGGTGCAGTCAGCCCCCACCACCACCGCTGAGTGGTCAACCCCCACCACAACGGAGCGGTCAGCCCCACCACCACAGGCCTCCAAGTCCTCCACAGATTCATTACCGCCTAAATTGACCAGGTCAAATTTGAACCTCTGAAATCTGGTGATTTAGCGTGAATGTTCAGTTTCTACAGTATATATATATATATATATATTTTGCATGCAACACTTAGGTAAGTCATGCAAAGTAATTCCTGGATACCAAATTATCGTAGGAGTAACATGACTCCAATTGTAGATCATGTCGTTGGGTTGAGATGCCCAACATTCATGGCGGTATGTTCCCTCAAGCCTCGTCCCACTGCCCCCTACCATGGCGGCCCCTCTAAATAAAACGTCCACCACCACCATTGTTTAAATTACAACAATCTTCTGCTGGTATTGCCTCAGACGGGTGGTGATGAGACTTAACAAGCCCCTACAACGTTATGGATTCTTACTTTATGATACAGCAAGAATTTTTTTTATTGATAAGAATAGTACAATAAAGACAATATAATAAGAACCATCACGGCAACACCTACAGGAACAAGACCAAAATTGGAACAAAAAGACAAGCACATTAACAATAGACACCTTAACACCAAACATAATAATATACAAAATGCAATACCCAAGAGACAATATACAACATACAAAATACAATGCCCAAAAGACAATATACAATACACAAAAACCCTACACCTGAGCAAAGCTGAGAAACACGAACCACAAAACATGAAACAATACAAAACAATAAGCTGAGACAAAGTACAGTACAGATTGCAGTCCAAAACGGACACCAGCAACAGAATACTGTACTGAAAAACACTAGGGCAATACTGTAGAGAAAAACACAAGGAGAAAACACAAACACATGACAAGCAAGACAAAGGTACAACGTACAGGCCTGAAGGGTGCGCAGCAGCACACAATAAGGGAGGCGGAAGCAAGAACTTCACGCGTACTCATTTGTATGGCAAATCCTTTTTCGGAAAACAGACGGAACACCTCCCACAATCCACAAATCTTCACGAACAGCAAGCCCCCCCCCCCACCCCTCTGCGCTGCAGAGCAAGGCATAAATTCAGGAATACCGGAGATGAAGGTACAGACACGAGTTACCCAGACAGTGGACGAGCATGCGGGGACTGGCGCGACCCGGACCACCAGACAAGGCCTTGACACCTCAGCAGCATCCGGCACGGCACCCCCTGACAAGGCAATTGCCCCCCCCCCCCCCGGAAGGGGGCGGCAACAAGGAGGGTAGCAAAACAGTGGGCGGCACCACGAGGGACACACTACGAACAACATCCTCGGGCTCGAGTACAGGCACAGATCTCCCACGGCGAACATCCTCCTTGAGGACCATTACAAGTCCCCGTTCCTCAACATCCCCCTCAGGAGGTGGAACCATCACTTACTGCGGGGAACCCACACCAGGAGGCGCAGGAGGGGGGGGGGGCACAGGAAGTAACACTTCGGGGCACCATACTCTCCAATCTCCCGCCCAAGGCTCACCACGAAGGGGGACATACACTGAACCCGTCTCTATCGCTGTGAGACAGGCCACCGGTCGTCCGAGCTGTATCACTCCCACCATCCGGCACCACAACAGAACCCTTCGGCAGACGTGCCTTTGAAGAAGCTGGACCCCAGAGAACCGCAGCTTCCACAATCTGGGGCACTGGACCACACACCACAGGACACAGCCCCTCGCGTACAGCCAGAGTGACGGGAGACACCTTATCCGGGGATGGGGCAGGGGCGGCCGAGGCGGGAAAGCTGGCGGCAGGAGCGGGGCTGCACCAACCACCACCTCGACACCCACACCACCATCCACATCCAGGCGAGCTACAGAACCCGGCAACGGGGGACCAGACGGCCGGAAATCAACACATCACATCAGCACCTAAAGACTGGTCCGGAGCCGACAATGGGGGAATATAATCCTCCCATTAGAAGTTAACAGGGGTGACCCAGCGTGCCTCAACCTGCAGCCTGGTGGCCCGATAGTCCATGAAACACACGAAGAGTGACCCCATCAACATGACCGATGACTGAACAGGACTCCTGAGGTGCATGGCGAGAGTGCGGGTCCCACACGGGAGCCCCTTCCGCCTCCCGGAGGAGACTACGTTCGTCCGCACATGAAGCACGTGCCCAAAACTAGCAAAGTATAGACGTAGGAGGTCGTCATTGAACTCTAAGGGCGCCTCATGCACCGCCACATGCGTAGTAGTACCGCAACGATAGGAGATAGTCACGGATCTACCACCACCAGGAAGAATGGGGCGCCCATCATAGCACCCCACAATATCGCTGTAGACCACTGAGGAGCCGAACTTCACAATCGCTCGCCTCGCAGCAAGCAGCTGCACACTATACACGGCCTCCACGGGAACACGTAACATGTCTCAAAATCACCACTTCGACCACTGGGTAGGAAGCATTGCCAGAAAATTCCAGGCCAATAGAATTCTGCCTGACGAAAGGAGACAGGCTCCCCCATACTGTAGGCCAAGACGCCCTGGAGGGCCTCAGGAAAGCACCTCACTCAGGCCACATCAGTAACCACACCAGGGTCTGCATGCCACGCCGGGTCACCAACAAATGGAGGTGGTCAGGCAAACAATCGTACCACACGGCAGCCAGGGCACAACTCTCAAGATACTGTAATTAAGACTGCTGCAGCTTGTATCGAGTCTGCCTCCACCACATCAATCACTTCCTAATGCATTCCATGTGGGAAGGATGGAGGGGAGGACGGTAAAGAGGAGGACAGGTAAAGAGGAGGACAGGTAAAGAGGAGGACAGGTAAAATGGTAGCAAGAATGATAGGGTGGATAGAGATGAGAATAACAGGGACTAGGTTCCATAAACATCTCTGATGTGCTGCGCGCAATTAATGGTTATATAATACACAAACGTTATGACAAACTACCACTAACCTCATCTATTCTTTGTGTAAAACAACCATATTAATATTATTGTGACCATCCAAGGAGCTGAAGCATATCAGGGGTAATGTAGTGAACCACTCAAGTGGTGGTAGTATTACCCCGGAGACTACCTTGACTGTTACACGTGCCAGCCCTCGTCAACAACTTGTATATGGCCCACACCACCATGATCAACGCTCCGGCCAGCGCGAGGACGGGCCCCACACCACAACCAAGCACTATACACCACAACAGTCACTGTTCACCATCCCGCCTCTCACTACACTTTTCTTACTGGTAATCAGTTTTACCGCTCAGTAAAACTTTACAAAATGTATAAGCTTCTGTTTGAATTTCACCTTAAAGAACTAAAACCAATCATTTGTAAAGTGATCCAAGCGTTGGTATCCTCCCCCCCCCGGCTATATTAAGGTCAGCAGCCATCAACTGTTCATCACCATCCGTCCAACCACCCACCCACCTACCTGCCACACCTCCACTAACTACACCTGCCGGTCTTCCCCTGGTTATGCGAGTCACTACAGTTCAACATTTCTTTAAACGTCACCTACAGCAAAGGTGAACATTCCACGACCATTTCAAAAGTTCAAAATAGTTCTACAGATCAAACAAACCAAGAACATTCAACAGTGAGAACTATGGACGGTAAATAGGATTAACATTTTCACCAACCCCAGGGTGTTCAAGTCCATGTCAATACTGCATATACCAATATTACTCACGTAGGTCTGTACATTAACAGTCCTTTTATGTTATTTACCTTTTTAACACTAACACATTTTTATTCAAAGGTGTCAAACATGAGTGTCAAACACTCATGTTTGACACCTTGCCATATACTGCTGCCCTGAGGGTTTCCCATTGGCTCTGGTGCAGAAATTATATTCACTCAATCCTGGAGTCGTGGCGTCTTAAGGTGCAAGAAATCTCTTCATCCCTATACAACCTTCACTGTCTTACGCCGTGCTGCTGGGGTATAATCATCTAGTATTTGTCTGCCCGCTCCTCAAGTCTCTCAAGGTAATTTTACACCTCAGTTTTGACAGTCATTAGTTCTGCGTCGTGTGTAAGGTGGCCCTGCATGGTGGGGGGGGGGGGTCACTCCCTGGGGGGGGTCACTCCCTGGGGGGGGGGGGGGGGGGGTCACTCCCTGGGGGGGGGGGGGGGGGGTCACTCCCTGGGGGGGGTCACTCCTTCGGGGGGGGGGGGGAGCCACTTCCTCGGGGGTCGGCCACACAGTAACTGTGATACAGCGGCCCTGAGGGATGGGGCCTGACGGCTGAGTAGACAGCCCATGGTATTCGAAGTTCTAATTAGGTTCCATGTTTGATCCCCGGCGGAGGCGGAAACAATGGGCACAGTTTCTTTCACCCTGATGCACCTGTTCACCTAGCAGTAAATAGGTACCTGGGAGTTAGACAGCTGCTACGGGCTGCTTCCTGGGGATGTGTAACAAAAAGCAGGCCTGGTCGAGGACCGGGCCGTGGGGACGCTAAGCCCCGAAATCATGAATACCTCAAGATAACTGACCCCTGTGCGACGCCTTCCTCCAGCTCCACAACTGTCTTGTGTCAGTACTGCTTTAGTCAACAACCCAACACAACCTTCCCAACTACACCACCTTACTTGTCCCCCAGCCAGCCAGGCCGCCACCTTACTTCCTACGTCAGCTTCCTCTTATCTTGAGGTTATCTTGAGATGGTTTCGGGGCTTTAGTGTCCCCGCGGCCCGGTCCTCGACCAGGCCTCCACCCCCAGGAAGCAGCCCGTGACAGCTGACTAACACCCAGGTACCTATTTTACTGCTAGGTAACAGGGGCATAGGGTGAAAGAAACTCTGCCCATTGTTTCTCGTTGGCGCCTGGGATCGAACCCAGGACCACAGGATCACAAGTCCAGTGTGCTGTCCGTTCGGCCGACCAGCTCCCAAGCTTGACGCAGTCTCTCCACCACAAATGTTACGTTTAAATGTTCAGTTTGGTTAGTGAAGCGACTATACACACAGCATGCCCATTACTGTATTTAATTATTAACAATTAAAAAAAAAAGCTTTAAACTTCGTTGACTATATCTTTTTTATATATATATTTACGATCAAAGTCATTTGTGGATGTACGGGGTCCGATATTTTACTAAAAACTACGGGTGTAAATACAACTTACGTAATTATTGTACTAATGCCCCTATATACCTTAGTATATCACATTTCCATACTCTCTCAATAATTACTATATTCTATCAAAACATATATACGTTTGGTCAACATATGTAATCACCTACCACAATCTTCACATTTATCTAAATAAACAGTACCACCAATACGTCCAAGGTGGTGGATATCTTACCATGGCGAGTGAGGGAGAGGTGTGAGAGGTGTGCACAGTGTGGTGGGTGAGCGTGGAGTGAGGCTCCCTCACCCGCCACCACACCCACCACCCACCCTCGCTGCCAACCACCTCAACACAACATATTAACCCCTTACTTTTCAAGACAGATTTGCATATTTGTTGACCAAAAAGCTAAGAATATGTTGAATAATAAATATATATTAAGTGTTAACAATTACTATACGAGCTTAAGGGTACTGCAATATTGTGTAAGTAATGATCAGTGGACTCAAGGTCTTCCTCTCCAATGGTTGATCTTGATATAATTCTACATTGAGTTAATTATCAATATGCTTCACGTAAAAAAAATAAATTGTGATTCATTGTAGCTTTCTTTAATTAACAAATGTTTACAAAAGTATTGAAATTACATTCTATCAAATTATACAGGTGCGATGAGGTCTGGGGGGGGGGGGGTGAGGACACGCCGCCAGAGTCCCTCCATCTCATTGGCTGAACACAATGGGTGTGTGAGGGATGGTGCGCTGTGATTGGCTGGGAGTAAAGGCGTGTCTTGACGTCACACGTCCACACCTCTAAACGCATATTTGAGAGTGGTAAGTTAGTGGGACTCGCTGGTAAACGACGCAATACAAACACATGGAATACGGAGTGAGGCAGACAAGGCATGTGGGAGGGGGAGGCGCCTGCCGTAACTAACTTACCAGCAGCAGGCGCCCCACAGTAGCCGGCACCTCCACAAAAACTGACTGAGCCACGGATAACCAGAAACCTGAAAACACATCTGTGTAAATACACGAATTAAGTGACAACTAATTAATTCTCTTGTGATAATATAAGAGAGAGAGAGAGATGCAGAACCTTCCTTAGAAAGAACTCCACAATGTACAAGCCTTAATTATATACCAGATAGGCAGAAGCCTGAGGGCAGAGTGACTGGTCACACTGCTACCTTGGCTGCCAGCACACACTACCCCGTGCCTGGTGGCTTGTTCTCACCCACCACACTCACCACACTCACACACTCACCACACTCGCCACACATGGAAGGAGACCAGAGACAAGGTATCATTTGGGAGATGAAATACTTCAAGAGTCAGAGAGACAGAAAGACCTGGGGGTTGATATCACGCCAGGCCTGTCCCCTGAAGCTTATATCAAGAGGATAACATCAGCAGCATATGCCAGGTTGGCTAACATGAGAACGGCATTTAGAAACTTACGTAAGGAATCTTTCAGAACATTATATACCACATATGTCAGACCAATCCTGGAGTGTGCAGCTCCAGCATGGAGTCCATATCTAGTCAAGCATAAGACTAAACTGGAAAAGGTTCAAAGGTTTGCCACCAGACTAGTACCCGAGCTGAGAGGTATGAGCTACGAGGAGAGACTACGGGAATTAAACATCACTTCGTTGGAAGACGACGAGTGTTAGCGGGGACATGATCACCACATTCAAGATTCTCAAGGGAATCGACAGGGTAGATAAAGACAGGTTATTTAACACAAGGGGCACACGCACTGGGGGACACAGGTGGAAACTGAGTTCCCAAATGAGCCACAGAGATATTAGAAAGAACTTTTTTTTTGTGTCAGAGTGGTTGACAAATGGAATGCATTAGGCAGTGATGTGGTGGAGGCTGGCTCCATACACAGTTTCAAGTGTAGATATGATAGAGCCCATAGGCTCAGGAACCTGTACATTAGTTGATTGACAGTTGAGAGGTGGGACCAAAGAGCCAGAGCTCGACCCCCACAAGCATAATTAGGTGAGTACACACCACACACACAAGACAACGTGCCTGGTGGCATGTTCTCACTCCCCCCCCCCCCATCCCACACACAAGGGTCTGGTACCTGAGTGGATAGCGCGCGGGACTTGTAATCGTGTACTCACCTATTTGTGCCTGCGGGGGTTGAGCTTTGGCTCTTTGGTCCCGCCTCTCAACTGTCAATCAACTGGTGTACAGGTTCCTGAGCCTACTCGGCTCTATCATATCTACACTTGAAGCTGTGTATGGAGTCAGCCTCCACCACATCACTGTCTAATGCATTCCATTTGTCAACCACTCTGACACTAAAAAAGTTCTTTCTAATATCTCTGTGGCTCATTTGGGCACTCGGTTTCCACCTGTGTCCTCTTGTTCGCGTCCCACCAGTGTTGAACAGTTTATCCTTGTCTACCCGGTTGATTCCCCTGAGGATTTTATAGGTCGTGATCATGTCTCCCCTTACTCTTCTGTCTTCCAGTGTCGTAAGGTGCAGGCCCGGGCTCGATTCCCGGCGCCGGAAGAGACAAATGGGCAGAGTTTCTTTCACCTCGATGCCCCTGTTACCTAGCAGTAAATAGGTACCTGGGAGTTAGACGGCTGTTACGGGCTGCTTCCTGGTGTGTGTGTGTGTGTGTGTGTGTGTGAAAAAAAGAGAAAAAATAGTAGTTAGTAACAGTTGATTGAGAGTTGAGACTAGGTGAACAGAGACTAGGACAGATACAACTAGGTGAATACACACACACACACACACACACACACACACAAGGGTGACAGGCAAGAGACTCTGAACTACAGGCCAGTGTCTTTAACTTGTATACCATGCAAGGTGATGGAGAAGATTGGGAGAAAAAACCTGGTAGCACATCTGGAGAGAAGGGACTTCGTGACAAATCGCCAACATGGGTTCAGGGAGGGTAAATCTTGCCTGACTGGCTTAATAGAATTCTACGACCAGGTGACAAAGATTAAGCAAGACAGAAGGATGGGCGGACTGCATTTTCTTGGACTGTCGGAAAGCCTTTGACACGGTACTCCATAAAAGGCTGATGCATAAGCTGGAGAAACAGGCAGGAGTAACTGGTAAAGTGCTCCAGTGGATAAGGGAGTACCTAAGCAATAAGAAGCAAAGAGTTACAGTGAGGGGTGAGACCTCAGATTGGCGTGTAGTCACCAGTGGAGTCCCACAGGGCTCTTTTTTTTTTACGACGCCAAAATTGAGAAGGATTAAGACAGAGGAGGACACCTTGAGGCTTCAAGAAGACCTGGACAAACTGAAAGAATGGTCGAACAAATGGTGGTTAAGAGTTTAACCAAAGCAAATGTAATGTAATGAAGATAGGTATAAAGAGCAGAAGGCCAGATATAAGGCATCATTTGGGAGATGAAATACTTCAAGAGTCAGAGAGAGAGAAAGACCTGGGGGTTGACATCACGCCAGACCTGTCCCCTGAAGCTCATATCAAGAGGATAACATCAGCAGCATATGTCACGTTGGCCGACATGAGAACGGCATTTAGAAACTTGTGTAAGGAATCATTCAGAACTTTGTATGCCACATATGTCAGGCCAATCCTGGAGTATGCGGCTCCAGCATATCTAGTCGAGTCCATATCTAGTCAACCATAAGACTAAAGTGGAAAAGGTTCAAAGGTTTGCCACCAGACTAGTACTCGAGCTGAGAGGTATGAGCTGCGAGGAGAGACTACGGGAATTAAACCTCACGTTGATGGAAGGCAGAAGAGTTAGGGGGGACATGATCACCATATACATGATTCTCAAAGGAATTGATAGGGTAGATAAAGACGGGCTATTTAACACAAGGGGCACATTCACTAGGGGACACAGGTGGAAACTGAGTGCCCAAATGAGCCACAGAGATATTAGAAAGAACTTTTTTAGTATCAAAGTAGTAGACAAATGGAATGCATTAGGCAGTGATGTGGTGGAGGCTGACTCCATACACAGTTTCAAGTGTAGATATGATAGAGTCCAATAGACTTAGGAACTTGTACATTACTTGATTGACGGTTGAGAGGCGGGACCAAAGAGCCAGAGCTCAACCCCCGCAAGCACAACTAGGTGAGAACAAGTGAAGTATCTGTATGCGCACATTCATACACAGCTCACCGCAGGAAGGACAACATAATACAATATGCGGTGCAGACTGCAGCCTTCAGGTGTGTGGTGAGCGTCGCCATATATGTCGGTAGTCAAGGTCACAACTGCCACACTGTTGCTGTCCAACACTCCACTCTAACAACTCACGCTAAATTTAGTTTCGTTGCATGGAACGGCAGTTTAACATGAGCAAGCCCAGGATGAACACCTTCTGGAACTTGCTTTAGATGTAACTCTACTGTTTAACTATACCAAGATAGACATTATACTGTACTGAGATAAGGACTGCTAATGATCACATAGCCTGGTGGTGTCACAACCGACACTGAAATTCGTCAGTGAAGCACTTGTTCCGGAAGTGTTCGAGCGAAATCAGTTGTGAGGCGTGTAAACAGTTTTTCATTCATAAACACCAGGGGGTTTGGCGGGTGCATGGAATCACCTTTGGGTCTTTGTTTAGAGGGCGGACTGCAAATCCCAGCCCGTCCTCCAAACAAAGATCCAAAAGTGATTCCATGCACCCGCCAAACCCCCTGTTTATGAAGGAAAAGCGGTTTACACACGACTCACAACTGCTGACGTTCGAACATATCCGGAACAAGTGCTTCACTGACGAATTTTGTTCGAATCACAACGCTATAAATGCTTCACCCACGTACTACAAATACAAATAATCGCCAACAGAACCTAAACACCTGACCTAACCTAACCTATGCCTATATATACACAATATGCTAATATATTATAATATTAATTTATATTTGAGAAAATTCCCGTTTTGAATGAACAGCATGTTAAAATTTATGAATGCGTCTGTGGGGTTGACCGCTGAATGTAATGGACTTGAGTCGAGGACGGGTTGCTATCTGTGTGAAATAGTTTAAATCCGTTTATTTTATATTCAGCTAATCGTTCTCAGTTTTCTACATTCATCCACGTTTCGGTAAGTGCAATAATATTTATTTTTTCTATGCAGACATGAGCATTTAAATCGTTTATTTTGTTTCTTAGACTCCTACTGTTCGTGTAATATGCCTGGATGTAATGGATTTGCCAACCCATCCTCGACTCAAGTCCATTACATTCAGCGGTCAACCCCACAGACGCATTCATAAATTTTAACATGCTGTTCATTCAAAACGGGAATTTTCTCAAATATAAATTAATATTATAACATATTAGCATATTGTGTATATATAGGTATAGGATAGGTTAGG